GGCATACGATACGGATGGGCGATTTTATTCAATTTTGATCAGGCTGGAATTGTAGTTGTCAAGCGCCGTCTTGAGACTTGTACGATCGGTTCTTGTATTTTGAATGACATTAATAACGGAGACGCTTTTCTACAGCTTCAGACAAATAGAGTTTCGGAAGGGCGACATAGGTTAATGATGTTATTGAGTGTTTTAGCGAATAAGTGGACTGCATCATGTGGAGGGCAGGATGAGAAGCACGAAGGAGCCACAATAATGCAACGCCTCAGGAGAGTAGTTCTGGGGAGAGCGTTAAGGTGAATAGTGACTTGGTTGAATTTTGTTGGTGAAATGTGAACGGGACGGGACTGTGGATGATAATAAGCGAAAACAGAAGCTGAGATTTTAAACAAAATGATTGTTAATTACTTTGTCTAAAAATGAGCCCCTTGACGGGGTAACCGGATTTGTGGGTGGGTGGTCAAAGCCGTGTAACAATGTGGAGGCTGTCGTCTAACAGGAACAAAAGAGTAGAAACACATCAAAGTAGGATAAAACGTGAGACTGAGTACAAAAGGGGACTGTGAATAAATTGGCTGTGATGGTGCTTTTACATCACGAAAACTTAGGGAAACACTGAAAAGGTAAGCAATCAGTGCAATGGATGGAATAATCAAAAAGAACTTCCGAATTGCCGCACCAAGGCGTTGTAGGCGATCACTCCTGTTTGGAAATACGATGCCGTTCTTTGTGTTTTTCAGATTACATAAGCTTCGTTTCCGTAGTTTACTAGTTCTCGGTGCTGAGTGGTTTTATGAAATATGGTTCCATGTAAATCGAATCGAAGTATTAGTAAGAATATCGAGGGATTACAACAACTGATCAGTTATATTTCCCTGTGCTGCCCGTACAAACATGCTAAGGTGGGGTGCACCAAATACCTGTACCCGCCATTAGGGACAAAGAGAAAAAATAGATTTTTCAAACAATTTCATCTTAAACCGTTCCAATTTCCGACACGAATTCGAAAGAATTATTGACTACCGTTATTAGGGAGATTTATTGCCGGTTCGAGGCTATATCTGATTATGATTACATGGCACGATCGTAAGCTGAATTTCACAGATAAGATTACTGTGATTGTAACATTTTGAGAGAAACTACTTCAAAAAACACCACAAAGTAATTCCAGTACCTTCAAGACGAAGTGATGAGCATGTTACGCCGAAATAGGACAGGTTCTAATTGGATAGAGTACGTATAAAATCCTTGAGCTCATTTGCTCCAAGGCTGACCCACAACGCAGAGGGGTGTTGCGTGAAAACCACAATCTATTGGGGGGTCGGCGTCGCATTCATCGGATCATACGTCCTTTGGACGTATCGCTTGGCAGCGATCAGTGAAGTTCGCTTCCCTGTACCTGGCTGTACGATGATGCTGATGATGATGTCCTTTGGACGGGATCAAACGTTCAACGTACCCAATATACCTCACTGCCCAAATGAGCCGACGACCACTGCGACCAACATTAAAGGGGGGAATAGTTCGTACGCCTCTTTTTGATTGGTTTTTAATGAGGGATCTTAGCCCACTCCCCTAGCTCAACTGCCAGCGGTTCAC